TTGCATAAACAAATGAAAAATGTAAAACGCTGAAGCTCTGTAACTTTTTTATGGATTAACTTTAATAAGCCTGTATATTTCAGAAATATATATATATACAGTACATAAAGAAAACTGAAAGGGTGCCAACATGCAACACGTAATTAAATACAAAGCAAGCATGCATGAAGCATTTAAGGTATTGACGCCTCAGAAAGCATCCCTCGTGACCGTTGTGACATTTTATCACAAGGCCCATGTGTCTTTCACAGTGAGCAACGTTTGGGTATATCGTGTTCCTCCTGAGTCACTTTAATAACAACCCATGCTGAGCTCAATGGAAAGGGACAGAGAAGACCTCCTGTAATGTACTCAGTTAACCTATGTGCTTTAAAATATCTACACTGTAAAGTCTCTTTAAGGCATATGTAAGGTTTATTCTATAGTTGTTGGTAAAACCCTATAAGTTAAGTTAACTCAAACTGTTTGAGGAAAAACGATTGCGGCAAATCATTAAAGTTCTGAAATCAAATAGTCTGAGTACTGTAGACATATATAGGTCTATATATTTAGTCATATAAACATATTTGATTTGTGTTTATATCTAACTTTTAGTGTATTAGTAACATTTTAAGTTCAGTTATCAAATCGGTATCACTTCAGTTAATGAAATGAATTAGGTCCAAACAACTTCTGTATATAGTTACTCAGATGATGTTGCTTCTAGCATTAGAGTTTACACATAAATAGAATTAATTCATTCATTACTCATTAGGTTTGATTTCTGCTTGAAATTATTAGATTATTAGTTACCATCATGCTAAAGAAACAGATTAAACCAGCCTGAACTGGTTGGCTGGTTTTAGCTGGTTGACCAGCCAGGTTTTATAGGGGGTTTGACCATTTCCAAGCTGGTTTCAGACATCAGACACCACCCTGTAAAACAGTATATTATCAGTTAGTCCTAGCATATGTTTATAGGTCATTGTAACTTAATCAGCTAAGTTAATCATGTTGTAGCTTAATTTTATAAGTTATGCAAGCTGGTATAAGTCAATTTAACATAATACGAGTATGTTCAATTGACTCATAAGGTTAATTTGATTCAGCTTAGAAATTTAGAGCAACCATGCAGGATTGGTCAAGCTGGTTTTAGCTGGCCATTTCCCAGCCTCACCAGCTAAGACCAGCCTGAAAATGTTTTACAACCTGCCTGTGAACGACCAAAACCCCTCTAAAAACCAGACTGGTCAAGATTATACTGGTTATGGCTGTTTTTCTTTTAACAGGGATAGCTATTGTTAAGTCAAGGTAACTTTTGAAAAATATACATACCATCGAACATATTATAAGTTCAATGGACTCATAGGGTTAATTTGATTCAGCTTAGAAACTTACGACAACCAGGATTGGTCAAACTGGATTTAGCTGGCTATTTCCCAGCCTGACCAGCTAAGACCAGGCTGGAAATGTCTTAAAACCAGCCTGTAAATGGCCAAAACCCCTCACTTTTTAGCAGGCAAAACTTTTGTTAAGTAACTTTAAAAAAAAAAATAATAATAATAATAATTAAATATATATATATATATATATATATATATATATATATATATATATATATATATATATAGGGTTTTTAAGACTCTCCATATTTGATTTTGTTTTTATATTCACAATTATGCCATCAAACTGTTGTATAAACGCAATATCACACTTGTAGCAGTGCGATATGGTTGTATATCGGCACTGGTGGGGGCACACGTATACACATATATACATTGAACTACATTTAAAGGTCTGGGATATTTGCTTTAAGTGATTATATATGTTATTTATGCCAGTAATTTAGTCTAAAAAGTAACTCACAAGATCTGTTAACACTACATAGTTTAAAACATTATTTTAACTTAAAAATTCTAAAATGCTGATAAGATTAAAACTTTTAATTTACCAGAATCATTTTATTAAGTTTTCAAAACAGGAAAATATTGATAATTACATCAATTTAAAAATGCAGCTAATTTAAAAGTAAATATATCTGTGAGTTACTGTAAAACAATATTTAACTTTTAGCAACCCAAAGAAATTGGGTTGATAACTTGCACTAATGGAGTTGTTTTGTATTTTTAAGTCCACACACTAATGTATTTTGTTGTTATTTTTTTATACTGAAAATATGGGACATTACATGATTTTGTTTTGTAAAACAATGAAAACCGTTGGTTTAATACAAATAAAAAACTAACGAAAAACAAAAATGTTGTTGTTAAATGTATTCCTTACAAGCATGGACAGTAAATTTGAAAACAACTGGGTTTGTTTTCAATTTTAATAAAAAAAACATTTAAACAACTTATTTTTTTGAGTAATCAACTTAAAAATTTGAGGTTGTTGCTATGTAAAAATGCCTCTGATTGAAGAGGAAAAGATTTGGCTAACATAAAAAAATATGACGTCTGAACATTTTGTTAGATGTTGTTATAACTTCAGTATATTAATGCAAACTGTTGCGTTAAATTTTTTGTTTAATCTAAACAATATTTTTTAGAGTGCATTTTAAACACTTTTTAAATTTAATTTGTTTCATATTACTTAATAATAGCATCTAATGGTGCCTTTTTATGATATTATGCAGACAAGTGTGTAAGAGGTTATGATTATGGTAACAATTTATAGTCATCTGATCAGCTCTGAAAATCAGCTTGCTCTTATATGTTCTGTGTGATGTTTAAATAACTAATGTGATATAATGAATCTGCCTGCTTTAAGGAATTTTAACACCCCTAACAATGGTAACAGAGTAAACATGGCTGTGAATACTAACATTAAGAACAGTAAAGTCTGTACAGATGAATGGCTCTAGATGAATGTGAGGTGAGCAGCCAGACACTGAAAGGTCAGAGTCACAGTAGACTGGATCATATGACTACATCGACACACACACACACACACACACACACACACACACTACATCTCTATTACACACTCCCTTATAAACAGAGGTCATGCATTAGTCCAAAACTAAAATAAGCATGTACAAAAACCCACCACATGGCTGCACTACTTTTGCACGTCACATTTCAGCTTAAAATCATGCATTATATTGGCTAAACGCTCTTAATCCGGTTCAATGAGGTGTAAATGCCTGTCATTCTTTTGAGCCACAACACACAGCCTGATTTCATGTAAATTAATTGCATTTTAGCAAGCACCTTTATGACGTTTTAATGGTGTTATAACTTTAACTTGAGATCAATTTACTGTATGGGTAATGCATGAAGAAGGGCATACAGTATGAGGAGAGTTCTTTAAGGCTATCAGGTATGAATTACATATGTTCAGAGCACAGAAGGTCTAGAAGCCTTGTCTTTTTCCCAGCCTCTCTCTCTCGGTCTGTGGTCTTTTGGGAACATAGACATGGTGGGATTTGCAGAAAATGTCACGTCCATCACACTCATCCCCAAAGAGACATTGTCCTTACGCTGTCATATAGTGCATTTGATATGTCTTTGTATGAACCCAGTGAAATGTTTTAGAAAGTACAGATCTGAAGTTTGGGGACACTAAGCTGAAAATATGCCATGAAAATAACTCATTTTGAAGCAAATATATATTGAAGTTTTTTAATAAAATCATAAGTGAAGTTTATTTATAAACTAACTTCAAGAGGATCACGTGCTTATGATTGACCGCAGCTGGTCCTGCATTAGCTAATGGATGATTCACCAATCGGATGATTCCTAACTCATTATAAATAACCAGATTTCATCTTTGGCTTGATGAATTCCCCCTTCCACCCCTAGTTCTCCTTTCTTTTTATTGTGGTTAGCACTGTTACCTCACTGCCAGTACGTCACTGGTCCAAGTCTCTGACAGGCCAATTCACCAATGTCGCAAGTTTTTGGACGGTGGAAGGAATGCGGAGAACCCGGGAGAAACTAATGCGAGCATGCAAGATGGATTGGCAACAGTGGGGTTAACACTTAGGTGTACTCCTTGAAAATTATTTTTTGGGCCCACATCTTGTATTGAATAACATGCTGGCACAACTCTAATAAATAATAATAATAAGCAATTAAAATGATAATGATAACCTATGCATAAAAGGTCAACCAGGTAGTTATGATACATGTTGAGATTATTAATTACGGACAGCTTTGTCTCGGTTTATAACCTACGTCTCACAACCAAACACACGCGAGAAGATTGGGAGGTCACATAGAATATATTGTACTACTTAGAGAGAAAGTAGCCTTTAGTGGAATAAAAAAAAATGGCAATTTCTCTTAAACCTTTTTTAATTTTTTGTCTAAGTTGTGGTATTGCTCAGATGACACGTCAAACAGACACCGGTGCTCCCACCAAATTGATACAAATTTTCCTTCACTTCTTGGGTCCAAATAGACTGATAAAAAGCACTGTTAAACTCTCCCCAACCTCCCACTGGCCTGCAGATACCCAAACTAGTGAATGCTGCTCTCTCATTGGCTGTAAGTAATCATCAGTGCTATTTTCAATCAGGACACATTTCACACGGCATGAATTGAATCGCAGTTAGGTCCAGATTTTTAGCATGCCAAATATCCCATGGGTGTCGGCGACTCATTGGCGATTCTCTCAGCTTGCGTCTTTGATTAGTCCATACTGTGTGATTGTTACTCACATGAACGAGCACTGATTTGCCTGTGATTTCAGGCATATGTCTGCGATTTCTCAAAACCTGTCGGCGAGTCAAAATCAAGGCTAAAACCATGCAATCTGAACTCAGCATAAGATGTACACATATGGTTCTTTTAAGAACTGTTTACTAGAAGGTTGTTGTAGGTTCAAAGTAATCACTGTGAAAAACTCAATTATTCAGAAAATAGCACTGTATTGTATATCACTGAGATAGATGTGTTGTCTTTGACACCATAAGGGTTTCTGTTGTTCTATCATTTTATTATATCACAAAATGGGATTAACATTTGGTATAATAATACCAGAGTTAGTTTAGCATTGCATTGAAAGACTGATTGCTTGGGATCAAATAGGACTTTTAATGAGAATACAAGTGAAAGCAACAAAAACAGAAATGCCTCTTAAATCTATTTTCCAAGTTATTTTGGGCCCATAGAATCACGTCATGCCACTTTACATTTTAAAACCATACATCATATTTGTGAAAAAAGTTTTTTTTTTAAAAACATCCTACAGTATATTGTCTCAGTCCACATCAACAGACGCCCCATCCAGACGCTGTTTCATGCCCTGGCTGCACCACCAGCACAGAGAAAACAAATAGAGAGCCAAGCAGGTTGGCATGTCACACAGATATGTTGTTATGAAGATCACAAACAGAATAGCATACAGTAAAGCCTTGGCCATGTGACCCAGTGAGTTGAACTCCTGCCACCATGAAAACAGCCTGTTGCTACTACCATTGAGGCTTTTCCCAAGCTCAAACTCTTCATCTTGAGAATTGACCTCTCTGTCCTTTATAGATGTTGTCTGAGGGATGTGTTTGGGAAGGTCAGTGCTATCTGTCAGATATGTAACTTTGCTGGTAAGGTCTTCATCTGTGCAATTATCACCGATGGCTCGGCAGTCCTCAATGAGCTCTCGTTTGCTTTCTGAACACATTTCATCCTCTTCACCTCCTTTAGCTGCTTCAATAGTCGTCTCGTTGAGTCGCTCCTTTATTTTAAGTCCTTCATTTGCCTCAAACCGCCTCTCTTCGCTTTTCTGTAGCTCTGAATTGTCTTTGTGAAGATTCTTGTTCAACGTGCATAATTCGTTCTCATTAAACGCCTCGCTCGCGCACGATGAAACACTCTGTATTTCTGCACTGTGATCCATAGCTGTTTCATCTTGTCCTTTTCTACTGCTTTCCGCGTCCTCTTCATGTAGTTCTGTATAAAACCACCTCATTTCCACCTGCTCCTCGCTATCGTCTATATTTATAACCTTCCTCTTTGGAGAAGATCCCTCGGCCTGTCTATTTGTGAGTGGCACGTCTCTGATCCCCGTAAATGTCAGGATGTCTTTGACCGCCCTGTGTGTGTTTTCTTTAACCTTTGAGGTGTCGGAGCTGCCCGTGCATTCTTCAGGTGAGATTCCATCTCCCGCTTCTGAATTCTGAGTCTCTGTGTCATGTGCGATTCCAGTTTCATCCCCTGGGCTCGCCTTGGTCGTGTCTTGACTCAAAAATCCACTTGTGAGCTCATGATGTGGCGTTTGGCAGTCACAAGATGCCTCTAACTCTCTTTCCAGCCTGTCTGGCTCTGATCCCAGAACAGAGTACGGTACTATAGTGACCCTTGGTTCTTTAACTAACTGGTAATCTACAACTCGATCACTAGAAAGACCTGTGCTCAGATCCTTTCCCTGCTCTGTGGGTTCAGATTTTATGACTTCTATTGCCTTCCTGTCAGCAGACCATTTACTATCATTTTTCACAGCTTCTAGTTCCTCCACTGGGACTTCGATTTGGTCCCTTGAAGCTAAAGCAAAGCACGGTACGGTAGTGACCCTTGGTTCTTTTACTAACCGGTAATCCACATCTTGATCTCTTGTAAGACTTGTGCTCAAATCCTTTCCTTGCTCTGTGGGATCAGATTTTATGATTTCTATTGACCACTGACTATCATTTTTCTCATTTTCTCTATCCTCCATTGGGACTTCAATTTGGTTCCCTGAAGCTAAAACCGAGCATGGTACGGTAGTGGCGCTTGGTTCTTCACCTAACTGGTAATTCATAATCTGATCACTAGAAAGACTCGTGATCAAATCGTTTCCTTGCTCTGTGAGATCAGGTTTTATGATTTCTATTGCTCTCCTGTCACCAGACCCTTGAATGTAGCCTTTTTCAGCTCCTCTATCCTCTATTGGGACAACATTTTTGTCTCTTAAAGCTAAAAAAGAGCAGGGTATGGCAGTGACACTGGGTTCTTTTACTAACTGGCAATCCACAACAACTTGATCACTCGAAAGACTTGTGCTACGATCCTTTCCTTGCTCTGTGGGATCAGATTTTATGATTTCTATTGACCACTGACTATCATTTTTCTCATTTTCTCTATCCTCCACTGGGACTTCAATTTGGTCCCCTGAAGCTAAAACCGAGCATGGTACGGTAGTGGCGCTTGGTTCTTCACCTAACTGGTAATTCATAATCTGATCACTAGAAAGACTCGTGATCAAATTGTTTCCTTGCTCTGTGGGATCAGTTTTTATGATTTCTATTGCTCTCCTGTCACCAGACCCTTGAATGTAGCCTTTTTCAGCTCCTCCATCCTCTATTGGGACAACATTTTTGTCCCTTGAAGCTAAAAAAGAGCAGGGTATGGCAGTGACGCTTGGTTCTTTTACTAACTGAGAATCCTCGACAACTTGATCACTTGAAAGACTTGTGCTCGGTTGCTTCCCTTGCTCTGTAGGAACAGATGTTATGATTTCTATTGCTCCCCTGTCAGCAGACCATTGACTACATTTTTTCTCAGCTTCTCTATCCTCCATTGGGACTTCAATTTGTTCCCTTGAAGCTAAAACTGAGCATGGTACGATAGTGACGCTTGGTTCTTTTACTAACTGGTGATCCACAACTTCATAACTCGAAAGACTCAAGCTCAGATCCTTTCTTTGGTCTATGGGATCAGATTTTATTCTTTCTATTGCTCTCTTGTCATCAGACCATTGACTATTATCTTTTTTAGCTCCTCTATCCTCTGTTGGGATCAGATTTTTGTCCCTTGAAGCTAAAACAGAGCAGGGTATGGCAGTGACACTTGGTTCTTTCGCTAACTGGTAATCCTCAACAACTTGATCACTCGAAAGACCTGTGCTCAGATTCTTTCCTTGCTCTGTGGGATCAGATTTTATGGTTTCTATTGGTCTCCTGTCAGCAGACCCTTGAATGTAGCCTTTTTCAGCTTCTCTATCCTCCATTGGGACTACAATTTGGTCCCTTGAAGGTAAAACAGAGCAGGGTACGGTAGTGATGCTTGGTTCTTTTGCTAACTGATAATCCACAACTTGATCACTAGAGAGACTCATACTCAGATCTTTTACTTGCACTGTGGGGTCAGATTTTATGGTTTCTATTGCTCCTCTGTCATCAGTCCCTTGACTATAATCTTTCTCCGCTCCTCTATCTTCCATTGGGACTACAATTTGGTCCCTTAAATCTAAAACAGAGCATGGTATAGTAGTGACCATTGGTTCTTTTACTAACTGGTCATTCACAACTTGATCACTAGACAGACTTGTGATCAGATCCTTTCCTTGTTGTGTGGCATCAGATTGGATGATATTTATTGTTGTCCTCTCAGCAGACTCTTGACTGTAATTTTTCCCAGCTTTTCTGTCCTCCAATCCTCGGACTCTGTCCCTTGAAGCTGAAACTTCAGAATGGTCAAGTGACTCTGGAGAAGCACATGCCTGATCCTGCATATCACTGTGAGGGATTGCCGTATCAGAGCCCTTCAGAAAGGCATCAAAACTCAACTCAGCTTGGTGATCTTCAACTTGCTGGCTCTCTGTGTTTGGGGGGTTCACTTGGGGAGGTGTTGTTGAGGTACTCCCCCAGTCTAGAGAAAGCAAAGGAATCTGGTGGTACATTAGTATTGGTGGTGTGTCCATGCCGAATCCCTGTTGGTTGTCGGTTCTGCTTTGTATACTCAGCCTTGGGATGGAGGTTGAACTTTCATCTGTGATGGAATTACATCCCATCTGGGTTTCTGTTGCTTTCTGAGCAAAGTAGCTTTGAACATGTGCCAGACGAGCAGCTTGACGCTTCCTACGACGGTCCACCTGTCAGAAATGCGACAATATGCTGAATAAATATGTTTTTAAAAGAAATTGATCATGTTTTGTTCTGAAATAAAACACATACCTTTCAATTTACACTCTAAAAATGCTGGGATGTTGAAACCCAAGTGTAATTGAAATTTAATTGAAAAAATTACCCCCGCATTGAGTTTGTCCATATTTGACCCACCTTTGGGTTATGACAACCAAGCATTTTTAAAGTGTATCTTCATTGTGAAGCATCTTCCTAGATGATGCAATGGCAGCCATAGTGCACCAGAACACACACCAGACACCGGCTTATTGCAGAGGAGGAGAGTAATAAAGCCAATTAGTTTATATGGGGATGATTTGGAGCATATGATGGACAGAGCCCAGAAGGCAAACTTGGCCAGGGTCACACCCCTACACTATTTAAGGAACATCCTGGAATTGTTTATTGATCACAGAGAGTCAAGGCCTCGGTTTAATGTCTAATCAAATGGTAGGTTTTTTTCTGACAGGATAGTGTCCCGATCACTATACTTGGGCACTAGGACCAACACTAGCACCTTTATCAGCAGCACATTTATCCGCTTTTCCTGGCCTAAGGTTTCTGTTTACTTGACCTTTACTTACTTTACTTGACAATTTCATACCAGTTTACTCCAGTTAGCACAAAATGATTTTATTTTCTACAGTTCAGCTGATAATGAAACTTTTTTGGAGTGCAATACTAATGCGTCAAGTCAATGTAGCATATTCATATATTTTTGTTTTTGGGATTCCTTTTTAATTCTGACATTTACTTCACTGAACAAGAAATTTAATAATAATATTAATTAAATTCTGCCAAGTCAGCCAAGGATAAACTTGCAGCCTGACAACAGAGTGGCGATGTCATGTGCACACCAGTCCAGCAGAGTTCAACACGATTGTCTAACCCTGCCTAGAATTCCATGTCACAAATGGTTTGTAATTGTGCCAAACCATCCCAGGCTCATGTAGAAATATAACTGGAACTGAAGAGTTTGGCACACTGGTGGAATCGCAGTTCTAGTTTTCCCAGGAGGGCGCCCATACCAACTATTCCCAACCCTGCTTAGCTTCAACCAAATGAGAACTGCAGATTAATAGTTGCACAGCACATTACATTGTTTATTGTCAACTTTTATTTTGCCAAACATGTAGCCTTCTTCTAATAACGCCCATACATATTGAACTGCCAGTACAACCTGCTGGTGTGTGATTGCACTGTGACTATGCCATATCTTGTGTGTACACATATAAAGAGTGCTATGTAAATTATTCCATCATGCTCTAAAGATTTCTCCTAAATATCCTCCTTTTGTTTATTGACCCTACCAGTGTTTTGCAGCAGTCCTTAAGGGATTTGCAGGAAGTGATCCCTGCTTCTTCTTCTGTTTTGTTCCTATTGCGCCCAACCTTGGCTGTGGCTTGCTCTGTAAAATACACAATCAAACTCAGTATCTTGTCATCAGACTCCTTACATCCAGATCTCCACATAAGAAACTCGCCTGGGATTCCTCCACTCGCCTCTGCAGCTGTCGCTTCTGTGTAGTTTTTACTGTAAATATACAGCAGGGTTTCAGTCATACACTCCAGCCATGTGTTCAAGCATACAGTCTCCTGTCAGATATCTTCATTTGATGATCACAGAAATATGCTACTGGTCTACACATAAACAAATGTTAAATGTTTAACCTTGTTGTGCTTATATCGTGTCCAAGGCTGTGTTGCCGGAGTTTCACACTGTAACACTTGATGACAGTTGTCAAAGGCATCCATAAAATGTCCTTCATATTTATGATAAGTGTCATCTCATGATTGTTTTTAGCCCATTATTAAGTACTCAGTTTGTGTAAAAATGTAAGGAATATCATTGAATAAAGTGCAAATATTTTATGGTTTATGTTCAATGTTTGTACAGTAAAATTTTCTGTCTTTCAATAGATATAATACAGCATATGAAAGACTTAGATTGTTGACCAAACAAATGGTACTAATTGGATTTGCATTGTAAACCTTACATTTAACAAAATTTCATTTTAAATGCTAATATTTAATTACTACTCTCAAAAAAGACGTTTGCTGTTTGTTCAACTACTGATTATGAGCTGAAACAACACAATTATTGACTTTTGTTTTGCGACAATTCAATTGTTTTATGTTCCATCCACTCAATTAGTTCAATTAGTTCCCTCATGTTATCCCAAAGCATTTTTACAGAACATTCTCTCAAAATCATTCCTCATAATTACACAGATTTATAATAATAATAATAATAATAATAATAATAATAATAATAATAATAATAATAATAATAATAATAATAATAATTTATATTATTATTATTATTATTATTATTATTATTATTATTATTATTATTATTTATTAATGCATTTATTTATTTATTTTACTGGGTATTCCACAGATTTTTATTATTATTATTATTATTATTTATTTATTTATTTAATAATGAATTTATTTATTTATTTTACTGGGTATTTTACAGATTTATTCATATTTTTTTATTTTTTTTATTTATTTTACAAGGTATTCCACAGATTATTCTTCTTATTATTAGTGTTATTATTTATTTATTTTTTTTCTTTACAAAGTTCTGTGTGGATCTAGCAAAAAAATATCTGTCTGACTTTGGTCATGATGATTGAGTGCCATGATGGTCTAACTTCAATGCTAAGTTTTTAATAACTACACTCAAAAAAAGACATTTGCTGTTTGTTCAAACTACTTGAATTTAATTTAAAATGAGCTAAACCAACACAATTACTGATTTTTTGTGACAACTCTATTGTTTTATGTTCAATTCACTTAAATCTTTCAAAATAATGCATTCAATTAATTCCTTAATGTTGTCCCAAAGCATTTTTACAGGGTATCCTCTCAAAATCAGTCCTCGAAATTCCACAGATTTATTTATTTATTTATTTTTTTTTATTTTTTTATTTATTTATTCATCTGTCTGTCTACACAGAAAGAGCTAAGAAAAATCTGTCCGGCCCTGCTCATGATTATTAAATGCCATGACAGCCTAATTTTAATGCTGTTTGTTCAAACTACTTATTTAAAATGAGCTGAAATAACACAATTCTCCTTTTTGTTTTGTGACAGCTCCATTGTTTTTGTTCACTCTACTTAAATCTCTAAAATCTAATAAGTTCAATTAATTCATTCTTGATGTCCCAAAGCATTTTACAGGGTATTCTCTTAAAATCCTTCCTCATAATTCCACAGATTATCAAACATAAAATTATAAAAATTATTCAATAATATTTATTTATTTATTTATTTATTTATTTATTTATTTATTTATTTATTTATTTGTTTATTTATTCTGTGCAGAAATAGCAAAAAAAAAAAAAACTGTCTGGCCCTGGTCATGATTACACCCCCTTCTAAGTGTCACTTAATATATGTTTTTAAAAGGGCTGTGTACCTAATCTCCAACCGAACCTAAATCCCTAACCCTTCAGTAAGTGCAAATAAACAAGATAATTCCAAGCATGGGTTTGCTTTTGCAGGGTTTCCCACCTGTTTGCTTTAAGGCAGCTCCTGATACCTTTATGGAGACCCTCCTCTACCTTCTCCTTTTCAATCTCCTTCTCATTTTCCCTTGGGTGCTCTTTAAAATTGCTCCTTCGTCTTTGATAGCAGAACATGATGTAGTTTGTCCCTCCATTGCTGGCCCAGAAGGTCCCAACAGCGCTCTCGTACCGCAGACAGAACTCAACACGCAGCCCTTCGACCGGGAATGGAGGCGTCAAATTGAGGTGAAAACAAAAGCAGTCGGTTTGGCCATCACTGGACCCGGGCACATACTCCGCCATCAGCTCAAAGTGACTCTGCCAGCCGTCCAGTGTAACACGGACATAAACTGATTTGTGGAAGCATAAGTTAAGCACTCGGACGATTCCTCGGATTGTAGTGGATCCAGGGAGCAGCTCAAACCGCTCCAACTCCAACTTCTGCTGCTGAAGTTTCGCCTCCATATCCTGGATCAAATCTGCAATGGTGAACAAACATGAGATGTAGTATTCCCCACCCTCCGACGAGTCCCGGTTGTCATATTCCTTCACCGAAACCAAGTCCAAACCAAATGCATCCGCAAATGAAACCTTCCTTCGTACGGCTATCAATGGAGGCTCCGGTTCCTCCTCTTCAGATTCATCCTCTGCAACCTGCTCCATCTTGTCCTCCTGGTTTTTCATGATCCAGTCCTTGCAGTTTGGAGGCTCCAGGTTGCAGGTTGTCTCTTCCACAGACATGCTGCTGGTTTAGGCTGAACATTAGTAGCCAATTCACTCGCAACGTGACTCGGCAGGGAGCATCGGGTTACGGCTGAACATTGTGTGGTTGCCAGGCTTAAATATAGCTGGCTACTGAACTATGCTTGTCTTCCTGGTCACTAGTGTGTGATGGACGTGGGCTGCTTTGATCCGTTCATGTCGTCTGGTGAACTTTTCTGACCCTGGAGATAGCATTTATATATATAGTTGTGGGCAAAAATATTAGCCCCCCCTCCTGTGAAATACTCATTTATTTATTTACTGGGATATTTAATGGCACAAGAACATTTTCACAGTGTTTCCAATAATGTTTGTTGTCTTCTGGAGAAAGTTTACTTGTTTTAAACATCAAAAGTAAATCCAAGGCACTCAAAAAACGTGGAAAGAATATTTAAATCCACATTTTTAGAGTGCCTTGGGCTTACTTTTGCCGTTTATTCTGACGAATTTCTCACCCAAAGAACTCAGACATAATAATTAAGTTACCCCTGAGCACTTTTTGTTTTATTTTGGCTAGAATAAAAACATTTTTAAAGCATTTAAGGTCAATGTTATTACCCTATCTTATGCTATTTTCTTTTTTCAAAAAGCTGCAAAGCAAAACTTGGTTCTTCAATGCCTTGCCTGATTACCCTAACTTGCTTTATTAGTCCATATGTTCATTTTTACTTGTGTGTGCAGGAGACTATAGTTCATTTCTATAAGTGATATAGCAAAATGAAGAAATCAGTGACATGTTATCTCAAAAATTCTTCTTATAGTGGATTAAAACACAACATAAAGTAAAGAAGCTGCTGTTGTGAGTCAGTTCAGGCTTGATGAATCTGTTTGACTGCAAACACTACACTTGTAGGCCTCATGGTGGCGCAGTGGGCAGCACGATCGCCTCACAGCAAGAAGGTCGCTGGTTTGAGCCTCAGCTGGGTCAGTTGGCACTTCTGTGTGGAGTTTGCATGTTCTCCCCGTGTTCGTGTGGGTTTCCTCCTGGTGCTCCAGTTTCCCTCACAGTCCAAAGACATGCACTATAGGTGAATAAAGTAAGCTAAATTGTCTGTAGTATGAATGCAAGAGCGTGTGGGTGTTTCCCGGTGATGGGTTGCTGTTGAAAGGGCATTCGCTGCGTAAAACATATGCTGGATAAGTTGGCAGTTCATTCCACTGTGGTGACCCCAGATTAATAAAGGAACTAAGCCAAAAAGAAAACGAATGAATGAATGAATGAATGAATGAATGAATGAATGAATGACTGCACTTGTAACCCAATCATAACCCAGTGTTAGGTCAAATATGGACAAACCTAATGCTAATGCTAACTTTAGATTTTAAGAGTTAATTTTTCCCATTCAAATTAAAGGTACCCTGAGATGATTTGAAATGTGCATCTTTTATTTATTCTTTGACGTAATCTCAGCTGAAACATGAAGAGAGGGTGGGACATAGCTCCTCCTCTTGAAAAAAAAGCAGCCAATAGCATTTCGTTTTTACCACAGCTCTGCCAGTGAAATTGTTTGCGATCAAATGAAATGAAAATGAGAAACGTTTTGAAGGGGGCGGGGCATGTCAGATACTAGAGAGCATTTGATTGGTCAAGATTTCTGGCAAATTAAAAAAAAAAAGATTAGTGATTCATTAGGTGGTAGTGACAAACTGCAAGCTTTGGATGTTTATAACAGGTTAATGTAGTTAAACATGATTTTTTTATTTGTTTTGGAGCACATTAGGTTATAAATATTATTAAAATGTTTAAATAAATTTGATAAGATGTTAGTTAGTTAGTTAGTTAGTTAGTTAGTTAGTTAGTTAGTTAGTTAGTTAGTTAGTTAGTTAGTTAGTTAGTTAGTTAGTTAGTTGGTTGGGTTGGTTCGTTCGTTCGTTGGTTAGTTAGTTAGTTAGTTAGTTAGTTAGTTAGTTAGTTAGTTAGTTAGTTAGTTAGTTAGTTAGTTAGTTAGTTAGTTAGTTAGTTAGTTAGTTAGTTAGTTAGTTAGTTAGTTAGTTAGTTAGTTGGTTGGTTGGTTGGTTGGTTGGTTGGTTGGTTGGTTGGTTGGTTGGTTGGGTTCGTTCGTTCGTTCGTTCGTTCGTTCGTTAGTTAGTTAGTTAGTTAGTTAGTTAGTTAGTTAGTTAGTTAGTTAGTTAGTTAGTTAGTTAGTTAGTAAATGATAAGTAGAAATGGTCATGCCCAACTAAGCCTGGTTTCTCTCAATGTTTTTTTTTCTTCACTTTCATCAATTAGTGAAGTTTGTTTCTTGCCACTGTCGCCACTGGCTTGCATGGTTTGGGACTTGTGGAGCTGTGCATTGATGAATTGCTTACTCTCTGCAGTGAAAATTAACACAGACTGAACTAAACTTCAACCCTGAAAACTGGACTGACACAGTTTCAGTTTACTTTTTTGTGAAGCTACTTTGACACAAGCTACATTGTACAAAAGCTAAAGAAATAAAAATGAATTGAATTGAACTGAACTTAATTTCTTTTCTAATTTTTAAATTTTCTAATAACTATATTTATACTTACAGTTCATTTAACATATACACATAGTTTTCACCTATGCAAACTGCAGATGAACTACATTTTTATATAATAGTTCAACTGTTAAAAGCTGTTAGTTACTAGTTAATTAGTTAAAGTTATTAGTAACTAATAAAGTTATGGTAACTAATAACCTCAACTTTTCTGAATTTGATTGTAATGCAATAATGTGCACCTTTTGTAAAATAATAACTATTAATAACTTTAATTGAATGGAATATTTCAGATGTGTGCACAAATGTGTTCTGTTTTGTTTTGCTTTAATATTTGACCGTTGTGGGCTTTAAAAAAAACGATATTTTTCGGCGTATTGATATGGAACTGTAATGCGGTCAAGATCTGTCTGGAACTTCTTTAGCTGTGCATTTATCTGAAAATGACTGCGTACAGTAGACTACCTTAGTTATTCATCAGCCAAACAGAATCAAGCATATAACTCTGTAGTAAAACAACTGATAATGGGAGAAACGTTGTGAGAAATGTTGAGAATATGATGATATATGAATACTTGTGAGATTGACTGCAATATAGGTGGTTCTCTCACATAACAACACAGGTTTTGTTGCTGATTATAGAAACATTAGGTGTCTTTAAGGGATAGTTCACACGAAAATAAAAATGACCTAATTGTTTATTCCCCTTCTAGTGGTTTAAAGCCTTTATGAGTCTCTTTTTCTTCTGTACACAAAAGCTGTTATTTTAAAGAATGCTGGTTGCTGACACCCATTGGCATCCATAGTAGAGGAAAATACTATGGAGGTCAACAGGTGCCAGCACGACAAGATTATCAAAAAATAAATGAATAAACGTAATACAATATATACTTCAAAACTAAAAATAAACATTTTTTACCTAATGTATACATTTCCATTATTATTATTATTATTATTATTATTATTATTATTATTATTATTATTATTGTTGTTGTTGTTGTTGTTGTTGTTGTTGTTGTGTTTTTACCTGTTGGTGAAGTCCAGAATTGTTTTAGTATTATATTTTAGTGCATTATCTTCATTGTACACAAGATGGCAGTGTCTTATCAAAATTGTATGCACGTTCGCTGTTTCATTGACAAATAAGTGTAGATTGTTCATATCCCAATAGGTGGCAGCAAACCCCTATATTTCATGCCATGACCCGTTTCCCAAAATCATCTTCTTTTTCTTAGTTTCATATAAAAAATGCACACGTTTCTCATTCATTTCTTTGTGACAAACACCACAATTGTATTATTTTTTAAAATTCTGGATTAAAATATTTATTTAAATAGCATGCTTCAAGATAAATAGCATACATTTTTAACATAGGTGAACATCAAAACGCATCAAATAGCCTATGTTCTTTCTGATCAATGAAAAAAAATCTCTGCGGATATCTGATGGATATTTGTTAAAATGTTCACATAAAACCATGTCAAAATCTTCAATATTGACTCATTTATATGTGCGTTTTTATTGGTGTTTATTTAATGTGAAATATAGATTCCTATCTTTTTTTAAACTATCTTTATGTTAAAGCAAACGGTGCTTGCTTGGAAAATAAAATAAAGATTATTAATTCAGTCACAGACTGTGATAATTAAATCACAAAAAGCCAAAAAGCAAGACATTTCATATCAATCTTTGATCTGAAATCTCCTTTATTTATATCAATATTTCAAGGCAGTGGCACACACACACACACACACACACACACACACAGACAGTACACACACGATGCATAACTCACTATACAGTATAACCTTCAATTGTTTTGCAATTAAAACATAAATGGGGAAAACGCACACAAGCAAAGATTGTTACAGTAGCAGATCATCATTAAAATGACTAATATATCATCAAAATCAATAATAAAAGTACTGATGATTTAATTTCGAGGTTCATTTCAGTGAACTGCGAGTGTGTGAGGTGTTTAAGAATGCTGATTAATTTAATATAAAGTTAAATTTAATAAATGTGTTAAAATAAACATTGAATTAAGTTGATTTCGAATTATGGAAAAATAAAATAAAGCAACACCAAACATTTGACCCCATCTCTGTTATTCAGTATTGAACATCCTTCCACTTCGCTCGTCTTCAGATTTGTATAAGCTATTTAAAAATACAACGTTATTTATTTGTTATCCGTGTAAACAAACACAATACTTATTCCCTTTATTCATTTAATCACGAGTATAATTTCGGATTTCGCCATATCAATAAATAACAGTAGCATAACAATACAAATATGTCATAATCAAAATAAAAATGACTTCAGACTCGTACACACATCTCTCCAGCGAATGAAACCGGCTTCTCTTTCTTGATTTGGGTGTGTTTTGCAATGGCAATAAACAAAAACAAACTCCGTTAACTTTTAATGACTGCATTGTTTACCCAGCAGGTGGACACGACGTCACGTGGGGTCGCAGTACGCTAAAAAATAACAACATGCACGTCCGCGTAAGTGCCTCCCCGCATTGTAATAAGCTAGTCCTCCCCACCACCACCAAACTCGGCCGATACATTGCGATGTATTGAATCAAGATACAAAAAAACAAGCCGCCGCTTCGCGTTGCGCGTCATGCAAGCGCATTCAAACAGGAGTCGGTGTTACTCGGGCGTTTTTTTTTTACTGTTGCATCGGTAATAACAGCAGCACACACTGACTGAAGACAGCAGCGTCTCTGCACTCCGAGCGGAGGAATATCAACAGCGCGTGTTGTGCGTTTGTTTTCAGCGCTTTTTAAAAACACTCCGACTCGTAAACACGCAAAACTTTGCATCCCCGAAGGAGATACATTGACTTCTTTTGGTGAGTTTTCACGTTTATGGCTTTTTCATGCACTCGGCGTCTGAGTTTGAGTGCACTTAGAAGTTGCAGATGGCTTATTTAGTGCTTTATTTGTTGTTTTGACAGCGAGGTGTGTTGTTTGAGAGTTGCCGAGGACTCATAAATCCTCATAATCAATATTTACATCAAGTGACAGTTTGGGAGGATTTCATTTATGCGAGTGAATAATGCGGATTCACTTTTGTTGTGTTTGCATAGCTGTTTTATTTGAGTAAATTTGGGGTGATTTAAACACGCGATTTGTTAATTGTTATTATATACTGTAGTAATAGCAAATAATAACACAATTAATGTCTGTTTTAACACTAGTGATTTTAGCCTGAGTCATGAAATGTAAATATGCACGATTCATTATTAGTATTATTACTCAAATTTCAAGGCGTTTGCATCTCTGTACAGTTACAGATTTCATATTTCAAGACCGTTTTCAAAGTTTTATTTATTTTAATGCAATTTTGGGTATTTATTATCATGTATGGAATTTTAGATTTGCCCTGTTTTTAATTTTGCAAGAAATTTAGATTTTTAACCATGATGTCTATATATCTATATCTCTATTGTAACTATATATATATATATATATATATATATATATATATATATATATATATATATATATATATATATACACATACATACATACATATATGCGCATTTGAAATAAAAATTCTAAAATGCATAAATATTAAAAATAATAAATATGTCCTAAATATGTTTGCATTTAGTAATTCATATAATAAATAAATAAATAAATGAATATTATTTCTGATTTTTATTATCATTGTTTTTATTATTATTATTATTATTATTATTATTATTATTATTATCAAGGGTAACATTAATCTTACCGTGGTTGCTTGCTCCATTCCCATAATCCGGGGTGAATTCTTCCTAGCTTTAGAGCTGCTCGCATGCAGGAGCAGTGAGTGTCAGGACAGGAAGGCTGATGTATTGGAGTGTTAATGGACAGCTCTCCTCTTAAGCCTCAGCCACATCTACTGCCAGTGCACTTTCAGTGGCTTCAAGGGATGTGGGACTAAATCAATAGGGTAGGTGATCTTTGTCTTTTTTTTTTTTCTTTAAATACAAGGTGTATAGTATTACAGCTCCCATTATGGCAGTGATTAGCTATGAGATTTTTTTTTTTCCCCTGGTGTTGGTTGCAGGAGCACCTCAGTTTCACTCCGGCAGCTGTGCAGGTGAAGTGCAGGTGTGCATCATGCCGCTTCATCACTCAACGCCGTGGCTCTTCAAAGAGGCCGCGATAGCAGTAGTAAAAATTTTCACACACACGCGTACACACTTTGCTCTGTAACGTGAAGCCCGGCCCTTTGTTAGCCCCATGCAGTTCTTCCCAGGTGATTTTAATTAGCACTGTTTCAACGAGCAGTGTTTGGAGCGTGATGTTTCACGTACGACACACTGAGGGAGGGAAGGAGGGAGGCACGGCTGACCTGCGACAGGAAAGAGGGGCCTAATTTCCAAGTATCCCAATGTTTTTTTGTAGTCGCAGCCTGATTACGGCATTCATCATGGGATGGGGTGTGTGCACGCTCTGCTTTGCATTAAAAAAAAAACCCTTTTGAGATTAATGCATGTGCGTCAAGTAAAATAAAATCATTTGTCTGAGTTATGATAGCACTGCAAGTTGAACACTGTGTAATGTGGGTGGGACCGTTTCATTGTTAGACATCTCAAGTTACTCTTTTTAATTATTTCATATTGAATCTTGAAGTCAGTGCTGATGATAAAAAAAAAAAGGCTACCTCAGAAAGACAAAGGTTAGCTCACGTGACAGCAATGAGCAGTGTGAATAGTTATAGGTCATGCTTTTATTCATATGCTTTTATTAGGGGGAAATGTTTTATTGTTGGCAATCGCTGAAGTTAATCTTTCACTTTTCCATATTGCAATCACTATTGACCAGCTAAAACAGTTTTAGTGGCTTTTAAGAAAGGCAAACAACCTTAAAAAGCATAGATTAGATGTGTTTAATGTTAACATTGTACAAGTGATGCATTAACCCATGTGTTGAATACTTGTAGGTTATGCTTTTGTTAATATTGAAACAAATGTTGGGTACACTGGTATTGCGTCTTTCAGTAATTGCTAAAAGCAACAATGACAAAGCTAACTAAACTATTTTAGGGCTTAAGAATAAAAATAAAAAGTTGTCTTTGACATTACAATAAGATGTGACATACACTCAAAAAAAGCTTTGTTTTTGCTCGTTCAAACTACTTGATCAAAATGAGCTGAAACAACACAATTGGGACAACTTAATGTTTTTATGTTCGATCCACATAAATTTGTTAAAAGTGTTAAGTTAACTTAATCGATTTGTGTTGGGTCAACATTACTGAATTGTGTGGAACCCTGCATTTTTGACAGTGTGCATGACTTTGTGTTAAATATGTTTGTAGTGCTTTTCCTCATTACTTTTTTCCATGTAATTGGAAGGTTTCATTGTTTGTTACTATATTTATTATTCATGTGGCATCTGCTAGTCATTTGCCATCAACATTAAAAAGAAAAAGAAAGAAAAAATAAATAAATAAAAAAATAAATAAATGAAAAAGGTTAGTTCTAGTTTACATTACAGTGTTAGGTGATGTTTTGCCCTATGCATTGATACTTGTAGTAAATTATTTCATATTGAACTCATCACTGATTAAAAGACCACCAAAAATGATTATACAGACTTATACGAAAAAAAAAAAAACACCCCTGAAAGGAAGACGTTAGAGCTTGTTTACATTATTGTTCAGCAACATATAAACCCATTGTTAGCATTTCTAAAATTTAATTTATTGTCTTGCTGTCAGCAATGACAAAAATGTCACCAAAACACTTTTAGGAAGGTTTATTATGTAAGATTATTTGTTGTATGATTGCATTAATATGTGATGTTCAGTATGTGTTCAATACTTTAGTTTATGTATTATTCTTTAGTTTATGAAGCGTTGTAGTTTATACCTGCATTCATATTTATGTTGCTAGAAAAAATAAAATAAAAAATAAATATATATATATATATATATATATATATATATATATATATATATATATATATAGAGAGAGAGAGAGAGAGAGAGAGAGAGAGATAGATAGATAGATATAGATATAGATATAGATAGATATAGATATAAAATAAAATACCAGCAAATCAATTCCAGAAAGTCAAAGATTTGTTCATGCATGTTAAGCGACTTCTTACTCCATGTGTTTGATACTTGTAGTAATTTTTCTGTCGATTTATATTATATCCAGCAAATGCCACTTTAATATTACAGTTATTAGAGTCGCATTACCCCAATGCTTGTAGATTATGCCTTTATTCATGGAGAAAGAAATATTCAAAAAATGTAAAAACAAAGCAAATCTGTTTTCAGGTTGTTTCCAGAGGTAAAATAATAAATCTGAAGTGATTGTTAGGTCGCGATCATGTTAAAAAGCAACTTATTGCCCGGTATTGCCCTGGATTTACATTCATGTTGGTGGAAACCAAAAATAAATCTATAAATATATTAAAATACCAGCAAATCAAGAAAGTCAAAGATTTGTTTTCATTCACATTACTACTGTACGTTAAGTGACTTCTTACTCCATGTGTTTGATACTTGTAGTAATTTTTCTGTCGATTTATATTATATCCTGCAAATGCCACTTTCACGTTACAGTAATTAGTAAATCATTACTCCAATACTTGTAGATTATGCCTTTATTCATAGAGAGAATTTAAAAACAAAGCACAACTGTTTTCAGGGTGTTTCTAGAGGAAAAATAATAAATCTGAAGTGATGGTTAGATCGCGTTCATGTTAAAAAGCAACTTATTGCCTGGTATGATTAGTACTTGTAGTTATACTTGTTTTTTTTCAGTCATTCATATTGCTTAATCATAAAAAAATAAGCAATAATTTCACTAAACCAGTTTTATAGTGTACACATTATGACAATAAGCAGCATTACTTGTTATGCCTGTATTCAGATTTGGAGTAATGTAATTATGACCGTTTCATTGTTTAAAATCACAAGATGAATTCATAATTTCATTTTCAATGAATTCAGATTTCATCTTCCAGTCACCACTGTATAGAAATGCCTCATTTAGAGAGTGTTAAGAAACAAAAGCATCCTCAGAAACTCAGAGGTTACTTCTTGTTCACGTTACAGCAGCAACATTCCTTACTACGCCTATATTCAGATTTGGAGTAATGTAATTATGACCATTTTATTGTTTGAAATCACAAGATGAATTCATAATTTCTCTTTCAATTATTTCAGATTGCGTCCGCCAGTACCACTGTCCGGAAATGCAACATTTAGAGAGTGTAAAGAGACAAAAAAGACCCCAGAGGTTACTTGTTCACATTACAGCAGCAACTTTCCTACAGTATATCCAGAATTTATAATGTAATTATGACCTTGTCATCGTTTCAAATCACAAAATGAATTAATATTTTCTCTTTCAATTATTTCAGATTCATCTTCCAGTCACCACTGTCCAAAAATGGCACATTTAGAAAGCGTTAAGAGACAAAAGCAACCCCAGAGGTTACTTGTTCACGTTACAGCAGCAACATTACTGGTTACTGTGGTCACACTTTACAATAAGGTTCATTAGTTAATGTTAATTAATGCATTTACTAACATGAACAAACAATAAACCATACATTTACTACTGTATTTGTTCATGTTAGTTAACGTTAGTTAATGAAAATACAGTAGTTCATTATTAGTTTGTTAACTCATGGTGCGTTAACTAATGTTAGCAAGCATGGACTTGGATCTTAATAATGCATTAGTAAATGTTCAATTATGATTAATAAATGCTGTACATGCGTTGTTCATGATTAGTTCATGTTAGTTAATGCATTAACTAATGAACCTTATTGTAAAGTGTTACCGTTACTGTATGCCTATAGTCAGATTTGGAGTAATGTAATCCTGACCCTTTCATAGTTTCAAATCACAAGATTTAGTAGTAAAATCATTTTCAAGTATTTCAGATTGCATCTTCCAGTCACCACTGTCCAAAAATGGCACATTTAGAGAGTGTTAAGAATCAAAAGCAAACCCAGAGGTTACTTGTTCATGTTACAGCAGCAACATTACTTGCTATGCCTATATTCAGATTTGGAGTAATGTAATTATGACCTTTGTATTGTCTGAAATCACAAGAGTGATTTGTAATATTACTTTGAAGTATTTCAGATTGCATCTGCCAGTACCACTGTCCAAAAGCACACATTTAGAGAGTGTTAAGAGACAAACACAACCCCTAGAAAGGCAGAGGTTACTTCTTGTTCACATTACAGCAGCAACATTTCTTGTAGCTGATGGTATTATTCATAATGACAGTAATATACAGTAAGTGTGACAATTCCACTGTTAGAAATCACACAATTTCTCTTTCATTTATTTCATATTGCATCTGCCAGTCACCACCGCAAAAAAAGGCACATTTTGGGTGTGTTAAAAAACAAAAACGACCTCAGAGAGGCAAAGGTTAGCACCCGTCACCGCCATAAGCGACGTATTACCCCGTGTGTGCTTTAATATACGTCTCTAAACAGGGTCATAAAACTCTAATGGCAATTAAGCCGGAAAGCCTTCTGTTTGCATCCATGTTAACTTCACAGAAAACGTTTCCATGGCTACCTCCATGCACGTTAAGGCAACCAGAGGTGATCAAGTCTCTTTTTTTTTTCAATTTCTTTTTTCCCTCCTCCTTTTTTTTTTTTTTTCTCTCGCAAGAGTGGAATTTGTGTTGACAGTTCTGGCCTTTAATGGCACTTTGGTGCGGCGTGAAAGTATTTGTTTACCGGGATCATATGCTGCTAGCTGTCAGCCTCGCAGAGATTGACTTCTCCAGATAAAAGACTGTATTACATGCTTAAGAGGTCTTATGTGCTGTAATTACCCACATCACCCTAATGACGTTTGCTGTGCTTCAGTAACTAAGACGCCGAGTGCAAGGTCACCTCTTAGAAATCCACAAATGCTTTTTTTGTTGTATTAAAATCATTTTTTTTGTGTCTTTGTGGATTTTTATGATGCTTATTTAAATGCTTAATGCATTGACTGATATGTTTCTGAGGTTGTGACACTTTAGACCTTTGCACGGTCTGTTTGATAACTGAGAACTGCGTTTCTTCTGCTTTAAACATGGTGTATAATCCCCAATTCTAGTCTTTTAACTGTGACGGCGCTCTTTCACATGAACCATATCACATGACCTTTATGGAGAGGTATTAAATCAGCCATAAGCATCTTATCTTGGAGTACAAATGCCCTTGAAATTATTAATTGTACTGATAATATCAGCGCTGATATGTTTTGTCATACGTTTCTGTGCATTTTGAAGGCATGACAGGGTCTTGTTGGCCGAGAGCACTGATTTATTGAGCTTTTTAGATGTAAAGGGGCATCATTTGTAGTAAACGGCAAGGTCAGATCCGCTCGGACCAAACTTGCCTGTGGCCTGTGACGAGTGTGCAAACAGATTTGATGCTAGCTTTTGTGATGCTAAATTGTGTATGCTTTTATTTTAGCATCTATTTAGCATCACAAATTAAATAATTACTTTTGCACAAATGCCGCCAACATGCAACCACGGTCAAGATTTCCTCTTTGAAAAACATATGTTATCAGAATGAGAAATGTGATTTCTGTACTGAGAGTGTACTTTGATGGAGGTTTTTAAAAATGTATCCCCAGGAATAATTCAAATAAATTTATTGATAATCTTTCAGTTCATCTCTGTTTTTATTGATGCATATTAGTTAGAGAGGTACTGTATTAAATACACAGAATAACAACACATCAACTGTTTCAATCTATTAGCAGACAACTAAATGAGTTTACATTTTCTTTCTCGCTGAATCCAACACTGAAATGATTTATTTTTGCATCAAAAACAATATTTAGGGAAAAACACACACAATAATAATAATAATAATATAATAATAATAAGATAAATAAAATAATAAGATAAATAAAATAACATTATAGATAAAATTTACACAAATTAGGCTACACAGCAATACAGACAAATACCTAAATACAAATATGCAAAAGATACAGCAGTAAAAAAATAATAATTATAAAAAGAAGAAAAAAGAAAGAAAATAAAACATTAATATCCATATTTTCTCTGTGCTCTCCATTTATGACTAAGCCAGGGAAAGGGAAATATGTATTGATAATATTTTAATTGATAATATTTTGTTATTGA